CGCTCTTCCTCCTGGGCCCCTGTGAGTGGTGGGGAATTCTCTGTGTTTGGGAGCCTCCCTGCTCTGGGGAGCATTTGGCACAGGACGACCTGGGTAAATGCTGCTATTTTATTTCTGTAGGGCCTGCATAAACAATAACCCCGCCCCCAATTCCAGCTGAGAGCCCCTTGTGTATTGGGAAGTCTAGAGACACTGAGGAATTATGGCCTCCTGAAAGCTCTTTGTGTAGGACCTACCTAAACGCCACCATCTTCTTTGTGTAAGACCTAAGTACCCAGTACCCCCCTTTGGACTGTGGGGGTGGTGAATCTAGGAGACATTTGGGGGTCACAATTCTGTTTGTGTAGGGCCTATGTAACCAGTAGCTTCCCCCCCCCCATTCTCTTTCAGAGAGCCACATGGGAATTGTGCTTGTTGGATTTTTTTTGTAGGACCTACATAAATACATTTTGTAAACGCCGGCCGTTCATTTGTGTGGGTTCTGTGTAAATGGTGACCATCCTTCCCCTTCAGCCCTCTGGGGCCTCCCAGTGCCACACTCCTGTGCTCGGAATCATTTAGGTAGGTCCTACGTAAATGTTGCCCTATTGGGTTGTTTGCGTAGGGCCTATATAAACACAATTGTTTATGCATCTAGCCACATGAGTTATGCCAGGTAAAGACAGTGCAGGAAGGGGGTGCTCCCCTTCCTATTCTGAAAAAGGGAGGGGCCCCTGGACAGATTTGGGGTACAGCCTCCCTCTCACTAACCCCCCGCTTTGTCTTCACAGCTGGGCCTGTCATCATGTCCTTAGAGGAAAAGATGGAGGCGGACGCTCGGTCCATATACGTGGGCAATGTAAGTGGAGGAGCCATGATGAGGGTGGGGGAGGTTTGGGGGGCTCCAGGGACCCTGCTTCTCAGCCCACGCCCCCCTTTTCCAGGTGGATTATGGGGCGACGGCTGAAGAGCTGGAAGCTCATTTCCACGGCATCCTGTGCGATAAATACAGCGGGCACCCCAAAGGGTGAGTGAGCTTTCGGGGGCTCTCCTGGGGCAGGAGGGGTGGCTGGGTCCCTGTGCTTTTGGGGTGTCTAACGTGGGATCCCCCTACCCCCAGGTTTGCCTACATCGAGTTCTCCGACAAGGAGTCTGTACGCACCTCCATGGCGCTAGATGAATCCCTGTTCAGGGGGCGACAGATCAAGGTGAGTCCTGCACCCCGAAACCCGGGCCCTGAGCCCCAAGATTGGGCTCAGATCCTCTCCAGGCCCACAGCAGCGTTGCCTCAAAGCCCTGTACCAGCCAGAGATCTGTCTCTGCCCCCCAGAGCCTGCCCCACCAACCAACTCTCCTCTGGTCCCCCTTCTCCCTGTCCCTGGGGTGCTCCGACCCTCCTCCTCTGCCCCCCAGGTGATCCCCAAACGGACCAACCGGCCCGGCATCAGCACCACAGACCGAGGCTTCCCCCGGGCCCGGTACCGAGGGCGCGGGAGCGGGGAGGGGCTGGGAGCCAGGACGCCCAGCTCTGGGAGGGCAGTGGGGGCTAGTGGTTAGAGCAGGGAGGGGCTGGGAGTCAGGACGCCCAGCTCTGTGAGGGGAGTGGGGGGTAGTGGGTAGAGCAGGGAGGGGCTGGGAGCCAGGACACCTGGGCTCTTTGGTTGTATTGTCTCTTTCTTTTACCCCCCCCCCCCCCCTCCGC